AACAAAGGCATGAGGGTAGAAGGTAAGGAGAATGTGTAGGAAACTGTGAGTATTTCGGTATAAACTAAAGAATAATGAATATGAAAGATGTTGATAACAGATAAGGCTGACCACAGTGGGTGGTTAGTGGGTGGCTCTGAATGTAAGGAATGGAGAATAGCAGGCAATGATTCGGAAGGAAGAGGTCTTTGGAGTATAATGAGAAGACCCATTATCTAGTTGCAGCAGAAAGAATAAAGATGCTAAGGTTCTGCCACTTTCAGGTCAACCTTGATTCTCTGAATGAATTAACAATGACAAAGCTCTACTGTACTGATCAATATTATTTTTAACTTTAAAAAGTCCCCACGATGTTAAAAGGCACCAACATGAATCAAACTAATCAAGTCAGAACTCAGTAGGAAACCCAGCTTTCTCAATCTACTGTCCGGACCACCAGTTTACACCAATATTGTCTAACAAAGATATTTAACAGAATTTCTTTAATACAGCTAAAACATCTGCCGCATTTAAAAATAATCTTCCTGCTGCTGCAACATATGGTATCATCAGAAATTTTATTCTAGTGGCCCCAGAGCTTCTGAGACACCTCGAAATGCCATGATTACCATAAGGAGGTTTATACAATTCTCCAAGCTGAAAGAAAAACAATTAATTCATTTTAATATTTAAAATAAATATGGGTTATGTGCATCATTTGGGAGAAGAAGCAGGATTATAAAAACTGCAATAATTAGAATTTAACTCCCTAAAGAAAAATGCTTCAAGATGTAGCTTCCAGATGGAAAATTCCCCTGGCAAGTCTGCTTAAGACGTGTGCTCAGCCTGTCCCAGTCTCTCCTGAATAGGGTAAAAGTGCTCTTCCTACTAAGTTTTTTAATGGAGGTCACAATGGGCACAGGTGTCTTTATTTTTACACAAAGAAATCACAATATTCATGTACGTAGAAGTGAAGCTAGGAGCCAAAGTTTGAATTCAATATGATTAGTTAAATACATATTACTCAGAAGATCCTACATTTCAGCAACTATGCTAGATAAAAACCAGATAATCAGTTGAATTATATAGAGTAGCTGTCTTTAACTAGTCTTGAGAGGTTGTAGAGACAGAGAAACACATGAGTATATGTCATAAAGTAGGACACATTCTTTAATAGACTTAACTGTCATGGCATGCCACAAGCACAAGAAAACCATTTCAACTTTACCTGGGAGGCAAAAGCAAGCCTCATGAAGAAAGGGATGCTGAGACAGAAGAGTAGAGACACATTAGGAGGGAGGTGGATTTCCCAGAACTATTAATAAATGGCATAGGGTGGTGAAATAGCAGTTTGGGGAAAGAGACTTGCAATGATTGAGATCTAGAGTGGCATGCTGTAATAGAGAACTGTCAAGAATTTCTTCACTTCGGGTACATAACACTTTGAATAATGCCTGGCACATAGTTAACAATCAAGAAATACACGTTATTGAATGGAAAGCATTAATGTTCCACTTAAGAGGTTCACAGTTTGCTGCCGGATATCTGAGAAAACCTAGTGCCTGGCGTTGCTGTTCTTTAATAGGTCATACGTATCTTGTCATTGGTATCCTTGCTAATTTCTTTTTTCCTTCTCTTCTAATAATTAAAGTTCTACTCATCTTCCAGATACGATTCAGAGTAGACTAAATCTTATTTGTCTATCTATAGCATGAATGGGTGATAGATAGATAGATGAATAAATGAATGAATGATCATGGGAATTCTCATAAATCCTTCCAACAAACTACATTCTCTCTTCCTTCAAGATTTTTGCATGTGTTCTTTGCTTTTTATGGTGTATTCTCTACTGCTTCTCCACTGAGCTAAATCCTATTCACATGTCAGCTCAGGCAATATAGTTTTTAGATAGCCTTCTACAAGCCTCCAGGTTAGGTTTCACCCATACACTATTGCCATACGTATCTGTGTAGTCATCCATCTCCTACACCTGGTAAACTCTTTAAGGCCAGGAACGAATTGCTAGTCAGCATTATATTCCCAATGCTCAGCAGTGCCCCGACACATAATAGACCCTCCAGAAATAAATTAATTCATGGGTGAGCAAATTAAGGGATTAAAAATTTTTTTGTATCCTACCGTAAGATAAAAATCATGAGTGCTTGAAAAATCCCACAAAACCTGGTCATTTCTATGAAATATAACCCATTTGATTCTGCATTTATAATTTCAAAAAGTTGCCATCAATCTTATTTATTAACCAAGGAAAAGGTATCTGCTGTTACTTAGGTTCTTACAGTGTCTCCTTCACAGGATATAGAATTTTTTAACAGTTATGGTGTTATAATTAGTTCTGATAAGAGGTAAATGGGAATTCATTTGTCAATGACACATGATATTTTAAAAGGTATGTATGGGACCTAATAATGATTCTGGTTGCTATGCACTTAAGGAGAGCCATCATCCTGATTTGCCTCCATATAAATAACCCTAAGTTATTTCAACTGAGCCAAGTCAATCCATAATATATTTTCACATGAGTCCTCTTGGGAATGAACTATGTTGACTGACTCATATAAAACATTACACTCAATAATACTAATAGAAACTCTTCACTGACTTGTAAGGGCATCTCACACAAGTAATTCTAACTATTAAGGAGACTTTTCAGGAAGGATGTTATAATCCCCACACCATAGATGGGGAAACTAAGACTCAGAGCTTGCTCAAGCTCACTAAAATAGCAACTAAGCAAAAATGATCAATCTGGGGCAATTTCATTTGAAAGCCTATGTCTTCTCTGGCAGACTACACTGCCCATTTATTACCGAGGAAGTTCTCAAGGATAATGGAAACCTCAAGCAGAGATCAAATGCCAGTGGAAAGTAACTTCAGCACTGACAATGTAGAGTCAGCTATCTCAGACAATACCCTTGGGTAAATGAAGGGTGGTCAACACGCTACAAATATTTTATCATAGTTGTGAACATAGGACTGAAAGAAGCCTCCACAATATTTTGCTTAATCCTAGGAATAAAGAAACTTCCACAAAAGATAGTATTTTCTTGTATTTTATCCAAGAAATCAATAAAACTGACTTATATGTTTGTATTGCTTTCTATATAGTATCTCATTTGAAACAAATGTAATGCAGAAGAGAAAGATATTGCCCCATGTATAAAAAAGGAACCTATGTGGAGAGTTAAATAGCTTAGGGAGCCCAACTAAGAAGTAACAAGAGCCATGACACAAACTCTATGATTGTTTCATTACATTCTAGTCATTGCCTTCTCTTTCCTCTAATATTATATTTTCTTCTTCCTTTTCCCAACTTAAAAAATAAGATTAGGGAGAATGGTTAATGATTCCTCCACAATTTTAGATGATTAGATCATAGTGATTCCAGGATACCCAACTTGAAGGATGGGAAAAGAAGCAAAAAGTCTTATGCAGATGGTAAGGCAATATTTTTTTTTAGTATCTCCAATATATCGTAAACACTAAATAAGAGCCATCCCAGACAACTCACCCACAATTTCAGCTCTTGTTGTGATAAAGCATTAAGAACAGTTGAATAAATTATTAACATGGCAGCATTCTCTGAATTGGCACAGATCCCATGGAAAGAGTGACATGCCAGTCTGGCAACTGATCTGTTTTGCAAAGGAACATAATACAATAGTCCTGGGAGATACTCATGTTTATTGTACAAGGTATTTTTTTTTCCTGAAAGTTATTTTTCTTAATTATTCCAACAGCTATTCAGATAAACTACTATGAGATTCCAGAATTATTTTAGGCAATAACTTAGAAATTCCTTATTCTGAATCCCGTAAACTCAAAGTAAGATCTGAAAACTCAGTATTTTCCCCTGTGCCCTGGTGATGGCAGATGGCAGTGGGAGTTGAGTCCTAGCAGGTGTGCCTTACCTGTCTGCCTCATCCATTATCACACAGACCTGGCTTTACTCATTTTAAAGATCCATGACTTCCTGGTGATTTGATGCAAATTAATCATGAAGAAAACGTTGAGTCTTTCTCTGCTACTTTCTTTATAATTTTGCAAGCTATTGTTGCCTTAAAGTCTTAAATGATAAATGTGCTGTATTGTAAATAATAAGACAACTTTAAGAAAAAGGACCTAGTTAAAAAAAGAGAAAAGGGTTTAGTATTATAGAAATAATATATCCAGAACCATAAAATCCCCAAGAGAATATAAACTTGGGATGCTAAAAGTTGATGCTAAAACCAATTTTCAACACATTCCTGATACTCCTCTTGGAAAATTGTTTTCACAACCGAAGATATGCATGGATTTAAAATATATAAACAACTTTAATACGGACAAATCTTTATTCTTTGAAAGTAAATTTAATTTTGGAGAAATATATTATTTGAGGCCAAAGCTATTTTTAAGTTCCTATAACATCCACCCGATCAGGATGTCCAAAAAATTCTTTTAACTTCTCCAAATTGGAACTAATTATTGCCCCCACAATCCACCTTGCTTCTCCTCCTGTATCTCTTATTCTGGTGTTGGATGTATGTCCACAGGATTTTTTCGTGTACATCTCTTCTAAAAGTTAGGTTGTGATATTAGCGACTAGACATGTGTAAAGGTTATTCTATGCACTTACTCTGATTTGAATTGCTAGACAGTAAAAAAATTTATCTGAAATAACACATTTACAGTTTAAAAGAAAGAGGGTCAAAGATGAGTATGCTAATGATTTTGAGGAGCCATGACCTTGTTCACAAACATAGATGTCAGTGAAAAGTGCCAGAAAATAAATTTGTGACTATAATAACTTTATTTATTATGGGGAACGATGAATTGAGTGTGGAGAATAAGACCAATCCATTTTGACCTGCAGGTCTAATGCAACTATTTCAGACTCTGGAACCCTGTGACATAAACTTTAAGAGAACACTTGCAAGTCAAGACGCGTTTGGGAGCAAAACAGTAGCTCCATATAATTTAGAGACTGGCTAACTAAAACATTCAGCCTTTTCATTTGGTACCTGTCTTTGGTTCTCTGTCTCTAGGCGCAGCCTGGCCTCCACACACCTCCGAGTCTCCAGGAAAGCTTGGCGCTGGGCCCGGTCTGACAGGTAACTGATGAAGATTCCAGCTGTGTTCATACACATGAATAACACTGCCTGGGCCACAACCTAAAACAAACACAGTCTGGTCAGGTGCTTAAAACAAAAGCTATTAGAAGCAGAAGCAACAATAAAATACATACATAAATATAAATTTCAAAGGTAAATCCTAATGTAGTAATCCACGTTTAATCACATGTTTGGAGAACTAGGCCCTTCATTCAGATCTTGAGGCAAATGTCATCCCTTTGGAGAGGGCTCCCTTCGCCACTTTCTCCAATTTAAGGCTTCTCCCCAGGTTTAGACTGGAGCCTTGATGGGAAACCTGCGGTGAAAAAGAGGGGATCTGGCTGGCTTCTTCACTCCACCTTATCTCTTTCCCCTTTACTAGCAAAAGCTTTTGGCCTTTTTAAGGGGCAGGTGAATCTGGTGGAAATAAAGAGAAGAGACTAAAAGAAAAAGAAAGGGAATCCACTGAATACCTTTGACTTTGAATACATTGACTACTATATTTAAACTTTGGTATTCTCAGGTCTTTGGCGTCAGGTTGATGCCAAAGCCACTTTTAAGTTCCTATAACATCCACCCAATCAGGATGTCCAAAAATTTCCTTGATCTTAACCTCTCCAAATTGGAACTCATTATTTCCCCTCACACTTTCCTACTGTACCCTTTTTATGGTTTTGACATCATGTCCACAGGATTTTTTGTGTGTGTACATCTCTTCTAAAAATCAGGTTGTGGTATTAGAGACTAGATGTGTAAGATTCTTCTATAAAAGAAGTGAACAACATAGTATGAATACCTTTATTTTTATGGCTTTAGCCTGAGAACAGGTCACAGCTTGTGCTATGTGTGGTAGCTATAACTCAAATAGAAAACTCAGGTGGCTTACAGAAGCAAAAAACAGAGTTCCAGACTACTGTAGCTTCTGGAAAGCGGGAGGAAAATTCCAAAAAGAAAAGAACCCAGTGAAGGGAAATCTAAAATTGTTTTATAATCTCTTATTTGAACCACATATGCATAGGGAGGGCAGTAAGCAACTGAGTTAAGGATAAAATGACTGAACTGATATTTGAACTGCAGCCCAAAAGACGAAGACTTTCTTTTGATTTCAATGAAGTTAATTACCTGCTAAAGTGAAACAGAACAAAACAAAAATCATCATTTCCAGGGGAAGGTAAGAGAATTCAGTATTAACTAGATAGCATTCACAATGCCCACAACATAGCTCAGAATTATGTGACATAAAAGGAAACATTAAAAAGTGACTCAATCTCAAGAGAAAAGATAGTCAACATACACCTAATCTGACCCAGATGTTGGAATCAGAAGGCCAAGATTACAGCAGTTCTTACAATTTTGCTCAGTGATATTCTAGCAGTGAATGAAATTCACCAAAAGTAAATATTCTAGCAGTGAATAAAAAGATAAGAAATAAGAAAGAAATAGAAATCACAAAAAAAGAAAATTTCAGAACTGAAAGACAAAATATCTGAAGCAACTTGTTATTGATAGCGGAATGTAGATGACAGAAGAGTCAGTAAATCTGAAAATATGCCAATAGAATATACCCAGTTTGAAAAAAATATATATTATTAAATATATATAAAGATATAAAAATATAAATATTAGTATTAATATATAGTATTTATTAATATATATAAATTAATAAACAAACATATATTTTATATAGATATATATTTTTGAGATAGAGCCTCACTCTATCGCCCAGGCTGGAGTGCAGTAGTGTAATACTGATTCACTGCAACCTCTGCCTTCTGGGTTCAAGTGATTCTACTGCCAGAGTAGCTGGGATTACATGTGTGAGACACTATGCCCAGCCAAAAAAATTTTTTAAATGATTTATAAAATGGTTCTAGTAGTTTATGTGACAACATTGAAAGGCCAAACCTATGTATAATTGGATTCTCAGAAGGAAAGGAAACAGAGAATGGGGCTAAACTAATTTGTGTAAAGAAACAAGCCAATTTTATAAATTTTATAAAGATACATATTTACAGGTTCAATAATCTCAGCAAACTCTACATAGGATAAATGTGAACAAAACTGTATCTGGGAATATCATAATCAAAACACTAAAAACCAAAGAAAATCTTGAAAACAGAGAAAAATGTTACATAAAGGGGTGTATTATTCTTCCCCTTTATCTTTAAATGATAAAGATTTTCAGATTAGATAAAAATAAATATTCTATGTCTTATTTATAACATATAGTCATAAAATATATTGACATAAAAGTTTAGAAGTCAAAACAAAATAAGGCTGGCTTTGTTGTATAAATACCAGACTAAAGATAACTTTTTGAAAAAGACATTACTGAGATAAGTAGGATCACTACACAATAATAAAGGGTTCGATACACTAGAAATACATAAAAATTCTGAACATGGCCATATTTAATAGCATAGCCTCAAAATATACACTGCAAAATATGATAAAAGTCTATGTATTTATAAGTCTATAGTCATAGTGGTCTCTTTTAACACAATTTTCAGCAGTTTATATCTCAAACAGATTAAAAAGTCAGCAAAGATAGAGATAATTTGAATAGCTCATATGATTAACAACCTTGAAATAAAACATTGATGTGGTTTGGCTGTGTCCACATCCAAATTTCATCTTGCATTATAGCTCCCATAATTCTCAGGGATTGTGGGAGGGACTCAGTAGGAGAAAATTAAATCATGAGGATGGTTTCCCCCATACTGTTCTCATGGTAGCGGACAAGTCTCACGAGATCTGGTGGTTTTATAAGAGGTTACTTCTTTTGCTTGGCTCTCATTCTTTCTTGCCTGCCACCATGTAAGATGCGCCTTTCTCCTTTTGCCGTGATTGTGAGGTCTCCCCAGCACGTGGAAGTGTGAGTCCATTAAACCTCTTTTTCTTTATAAATTACCCAGTCTCAGGTATGTCTTTATCAGAGGCATGGAAGCAGACTAATACAAACATGCTATTCAATAATCAGATAGCAGAAATTCTTTTTGGCACATACTTATTTTGAAAACCAGGTTTTATCTCCTATTACAATGTTTCAAAGAAACACTTCAGGATCTTGATCACATTTGTTTAAAATGTTCACTGAAAGCTCTGCTCCTGTCTGCAGCTGATTTGGGCACATAGATTTTAGCACCCATCAAGTAAAAAGTTTGATCAACTTTCATTGTTCAGTCAGAATTGTGTAAGCTGAGCTAATTAAGATGTCAATGATATTGGCAATTGTTTCTACCATTAATAGTTTCTCTTTAATTAGGACATGGGTACAATTAACTGTTTCTTCACATATTTATGTGAATTGTCTGCTCTGTGGGCTTTACATATTCAACATCATCTCATTCTTTCTTAAAATGAGTGACCCGTTTGTAAACTGATTTCTCTGGGGCATTCTTTCTATGAACTTTTGTAAAGCACCAATGATTTCGCAATTCTTCCACCAAAGCTTCCCCAATAACTGATATCTTATCCTTTTTAGTATCTCGAGTTGAATCCTGTTCAGACACATTGCAATGTTTGTATCAGTTTATTCTGGTGAAAAAGGTTTTGAAATTCATATTATGTTACTGTAAATCCATCATTTAAATCCAGCTAATGAAACAACTGTGAGCAATCAATGGTCCTGTGGAGTCAGGTGGGCATGAACTTTTTGAAAATCGCTCAGATTGTTTAGTTTGACTTCAGTCGTTTATAAATTTCGTGTCACTGGAATTATCCTTTCTTACTAAACATTATTTTCTTCATTCAGTTCGAGGCATTCATTGATAGTTCCTGTATTTTTACTGCTAAGTAGTATTTAATACACCACAAAATATTGATCTGTTCACTACTCGTGGACGTTCTGATTATTTCCACTCCCAGGCTCTTGTGGAAAATGCTGCTTGGAACATTTTGGGTACGTTCCTGCGGCACACGTGCAAAGGTGACTCTGGGGTGTGGAGTGGGAATACTCAGTGCTAACCCAATGGATATGGATTGGTCTCCCATTATGGTTTTAATATCAACTTCCCAGATTACTAACGTTTTATGCTGGTTAGGTTGTGGGGAAAAGAGTCACTCTCATACCTACTTGGTGAATGTGTAAATTTGGCAGTATCTATAAAAATTGACAATATTTATACTCATGTGTTCAGGTACTCTATTTCTGTAGACTTGTTTCTTAAATATGATCACCCATGTGCAAAGATCAAAGGATATAATATTGTTTACAATAATAAATAATTAGAATAGTTTAAAAGGCCTTAAACAGAGGATTGGTCATATCATAAATCCATACAGTTGAAAACTGGGTGAGGGAGAAGGAAAGAACTAACATCTACTATCATTTTTAAATGCACAGACATACTCAGTAAGTTATTGGGTAATTCTGGGGACAGAAACTGAAGCCTGAGGTTTTAGTTTCTACCATTTTGGTTTTTGTACATGTGCATGTAGTGTACCTATTATATTATAATATATTAAACAGAGAACTAGATAAATTATATATATAATTTATAGATAAATTTATTGTTAAAAAGTGTAAAATGCAAACTCCTCATCATTATAATCAGTATTGTTTGATCGTCTTCAAGGCTATTTTGTACTATTTCTTCACTTACTCATTTTGTTCTAACCTAATGATTTCTGTTACTTTCTGTTTCTTCATTAGGTTTTTACCATTTCTGGGACATTCAAATGTTGTTTCCTCTATTTTTTTTTTTTTTGAGACGGAGTTTCGCTCTTGTTACCCAGGCTGGAGTGCAATGGCGCAATCTCGGCTCACCGCAACCTCTGCCTCCTGGGTTCAGGCAATTCTCCTGCCTCAGCCTCCTGAGTAGCTGGGATTACAGGCGCGCACCACCATGCCCAGCTAATTTTGTGTATTTTTAGTATAGACGGGGTTTCACCATGTTGACCAGGATGGTCTCGATCTCTTGACTTCGTGATCCACCCGCCTCGGCCTCCCAAAGTGCTGGGATTGTTTCCTCTTCTTCAAACACTATTCTCTATACTTGCCTTGCTGATTCCTCTTATCCTTCTGTTCTTGGTTTTATTATAGTTTTCTCAGATAGACA